TGCAGTGTGAACGTAGCCAATCTGTGGGATTGTTCAGTCAGATAATACGCCGTCATCCTGATTGGTGACATTAAATGTCATGTCGGAGTCACAATCCAAGGCTGTCGCTATGTTAAGGCTGTTTTTATGGGTTCGGTTCGTTTTTCCTAAAAACCTGTCGGATAGCAGGTTTAGGATTGTTAAGGGTCAGATTATCGAGTCACGACTGTATTTATATCACTTAAGCCATTTTTTTGTGCTGAAGTTCCAAACACTTCCTAGTTATGCCGTCAGCTTTGCAAAGATTTGCTGTTTTTTTTCTGTAATCTAAATTTCTTTGACTTTTGGATTGTTGGCTGAGAATAAGAAGCCCTTCTCGGGGCTCTGGGGTAGTTGTGATGCCAGTTTCTTTTTTCCTGCTATTTTCTAGACTAGACTCAAAAATATTTTTAAAATTGATTTGGCAAAACATATCATCCTGAATATTCTAATAGTCAACATTCAATATTCATTTTGCACTAAAACAATCACAGTGATGGACTCTGCATGAGAACAGCAGCAACACAGTTGGATTTAGTTCACGTTCTCGTTGCCTGTCAGGTAAAAATGAACACAAGTCTGCTGCTTTTTATTCTTATTTTAGTTTTTTTATTTCCTTTTGGTGCCTTTGAGGACACAGTCAGTGTGGAAATGGTGCTGATGATGGAGCGGTTTGCGTAAAATACTCTGTCAAAGATTTTCTTGAAAACACACAAGATTGCTTTCTTTCTCTTTTACTTAAAAAAAAAAAAAAAAAAAAGACTTGACAAGCTCAGAGGCCTGTCGACATGTTGTAGCCTTTTTATTTTGATCTTTAAATACGAATCTAAAATTTTACACCCAGAATGTTCTGCAAACAAGAAAATAGCATCGAATATGGATGTTTTTAGAATTTCAGTATTAAGACGACTGTAGAACAAATTATCAAATGATTATTTGACATTAAGTGAGCCTCAGATTAATCAATATTAAAAATAATCATCTGTGGCAACCTCACAGTAAACACCTGGTCGTGTTTATCTGTTCTATAATCAGATATCTTTAGATTTAAATCAGAATTTCTTCTGTTTAGACTGTATTTTGAAATGTAAAGTTAAGTGTTTATACAGTATTTGACGTCTGATTAGTTGAATTCATGTCAATAAGAAATGATTTAATGCAAACATTGGTGCAGATTCTTTAAAGTTTGCATCAAAACTCAATTTGCACAAAAAAGCAGGATTTTTCGTTTTCATTTATTAGTATTTTTATTTAACTAAATGATCCTCATGTGACTCTGGGATGATTTTTTATTGTCTTTTTTTTTTTGTCAAAATTGGATTTTGCTTCAATTTTTTCTTAATACAAAAATCTTAAAATAAATTACAAAAAAATAAAAATAAAAAATAACAGAGCTAGTTCACAATAAATGATTTTTTTTTTTTTTTTAACGAGGACAAAACAAATATTTAGCACAAACCAACTAAATGCAAAGATCCTCTAATTGGAATCACAGAAGTCCTTTTCTTCTGCTTGTTTGTAAAAAAAAAACACTCCAGATTTTCTATTTATTTATTTATTAGTTGTTGGTTTTTTTGTCTTTAAATAAGTGAACAAAAGCGACATTTGCCAGGCACACAGTGCTGCTGCCTCTCACACATTGTCATGCTGGCACTTGAGTTGTTATGGTAACAGCGCTTCCCGAGGGAGACGTTTGGTTTTTTTCTTTATCACAAACTGAGGTGGAGCAACTCTTTCAACAGAGGCCTCGGTGGGATAATAAATAGGATTGTTCACCCCCCCCCTAGACGCTGAAGACCTGGTGTCAGAGGGGGAAGAACGACGACGGCGGCTGATCAGGACAACACACTTTGTGACAAATTCCTCAGCAGCTGGCGAGAAGCAACAATTCTTTAAAAAAAAAGAGGCAGAAAAAGATGAAGCCATACGGAGAGTAATTCTGCAGCACGATGGGTCAGAGAGGAACGATTCCCTCCACACTAGTGTTCGGTTCGCTCATCAGTTTGTGGAGTTCTGTCCACGTTTGGCTTCTTTAGGAACCTTTTAAATCAGGATAATTTGGATAAAGCTCCACTGATAATTATTCTGGCTTATATCTGGAGCTGCAATGATCAGCTGATTATTCAGGTAATTAGTTGGGAGAGAAACAGATGGCGACTCGTTTAAAATTAATTCAAGTTCAAGAGAATTTGATGCTTTTCTCTGTTTTGTACGACCGTAAACTGAATAATTTAGGCTTTGGTATTAAAAAAAAAAAGATATTTAAATTAGTCACTTTGAGTTTTTGTTCATCTTTAATCCAAATTATAATTAATCAGGGCTCCTGTTTTGCATAAATAGTCGAATAAATCAACAAATAAATGTTTTTTTTTTCTTTTTCTTTTTATAAATTGTGAAATTTCCACCTCAGTGGTCACGAATAAAGTGAAATAAATCTGAGGGATCTGGACCAAACTGTGGAGATGCATCCAAAATGTCAACATCTGCATTGACCTGTTAAGTGTTTTTCTTCGACAGTCGTCTCTCTGCTCGGTGGTGCAATCAGAGCTGCCTTGACACGCTCTCCTGTTATTATCCGTTCCATCCACAAGTTTCATCAGATGGTGTTTCTGGGTATTTACATAACAGGACAACTCCGAGGCGTTGCGTTGGGTTATCTAACCGACTGCCTCTTTTTTGTGTTTTAATCTGAAAGGAAATTGAAGCTTTGGAGCCACCAGATCTCCTGCTGGTGGCTTCGCTGACATATAACGTGTGAAGAGTTGCCTCCTTTCTTTTTCTAAGTCACTCTACAAACGGTAAAAGTGCAGCAGCTGTCGTGAAGCCCCTCTCTATCCTCTGCCGGGAGCTTCTCTAAACGGGCCTGTTGTCGTAGCCGAGGGTCGGCACATTGCAACGTCATGACCCCGGGCGCTGGAATGCGGCTGGCTGCCTCCTCACCTGCACAGACACGCTTTGATAATGCACAAAGTTCTCTCTCTGGGGGGAAAAGAGGCTCACGGTATGCCGTTACAATCCAGTGACTATCCTGAAAAGCAAAAGCTTCAAAGCCAAACATCCAACTTCTCTCCCCCTAGCAAAAATAAAGATAATTTCAAACAATAAGAGCACAGTGTGTTTATGAGCAGGGAAACCAGAAACCAGGACTTTTCAGCCCATGGAGTTGCTCTAAAGCAGACCCGTGGGCCTGCTGCAGACACTCAGCTGTAGTGACTTGTTCGGATCACCTCAGCAGAAGCTCTAAATCCCTGTGCTGACACCGACACCGCCGTCCGTTAATCTGGGCTCTTACCTGATTCTGATTGAAGTCCTCCAGGAATAAAAGCTTGACGGAAAGTAGAGTTCCTGACGCGGGCCTGACAGCTTGTGCCTCGCCGTGTCAGCCGAGCAGCAGGCGGCAGGTGGCCACTCCCTCACCTCTGCAGTCCTGAGCCGAGGAGGGCCCACTTCCTTATTCCAGGAATCTCCAGGCTGAACATGGCGGCTCGCCCCTGAGTCGTCCTGCAGAGTTTATAGGCTTCAGTCATTATGTGTCTTCCTAAACTTGTGTGTTCTTTTAGGATTATTTCTTATAATTAACTTTAAATGTATATAAAATGTGCAAAAGGTATCGTTAATCTAAGTTGAATTTAATTGAGAGGAAAGGTAATTTTGGAGCCTGGTCTACGTCTTCATTGAGGTTTTGGTTGATTATTTATACCTCAGGTTGTATAATGTGACCTCTGCTCCTCACTGAGGCTG